AAGATAAATAGGAGTCCAAAACGCATTAAAATGTGAAAAACGAGTTGGGTCAGACATGGGGTGACAGCCCGTTGCTCGAACGTCAGGCGGGCGAAAAGTCTTTGTTTAAAACATGTTGGTGCAACTCGAGCATTCAGCTAGGATCAGGCAAGCGAAAGTGCGAAAACTTTTCTTTCTAATCCATAATTTAATTTCTTTAAAATCACATCAACTAGGATTCCAATACCCACTAGAATTTGGGTCATATTACAACAAGTCTCCACCTTGAACTAAATTTCAATGCAAGGAATTCCAAAAAATACATTTCCAAAGTAAATATCACTCCTCTTCTAGACAAGCCCCCAATGGACTAAATTAACGACAAACACCAATTAAATTCAAGCAATGCTCATACTTAGCAACGGAAAGTGGTTTTGTCACCATATCAGCAGGATTATCCTTGCTGTCAACCTCGCTTACTACAATATCACAACAAGCAATCACTTCACGCACAAAATGATACTTCTCATCAATGTGCTTAGTCCTCTCATAGAACATTTGATCCTTAGTAAAAAAAAAAAAAATAGCACTCTACCATCACAATATACTGGAAAAATATGCAAGTCTTCACTGATTTCACCAATCAAACCCCTTAACCACATAACCTCCTTACATGTCCCTGTAATGGCCATGTATTTTATTTCTATTGTAGACAATGCTACTATATTTTGCAAAATAGCTTTCCAGTTTATAGCACAGTCTCTAAAGGTAAACACATACCCTCTAAGTGATCTCCTTTTTTTTTTTTTTTTATCAAGATCCTCTACATAATCTGAATCCACATACCCAATGACTCCAGCTAAATTTCTACCAAAATACAAGCAAGCATTAGTTGGGCCATTCAAGTATTTGAATATCCATTGCGCTGCTTTCCAATGTTCCTTATCAGAATTTTCCATGTACCTACTAACTGTATTGACTATATGTGCCAAATTTGGACTTGTACAAATCATATTATACATTAGCGAACCAACTACACTGGAATAAGGTACCTGAGACATATAATCAATGTCTAGTTGAGGATACCATCCAGATGATAATTTGAAGTGGGCAGCCAAGGGAGTACTAACAGCCTTAGCATTCAGCATATTGAACCTTTGAAACACAATCCCAATGTACCACTTTTGACTTAAGCGCAATCTTCCAGCCTTTCTATTCTTCAAGATTTTCATACCAAGAATTTTCTTTACTACATCTAAATTCTTCATCCCAATCTTCTTACTAAATTGAGATTTCATCTTTCTTACCACTGCTTTATCCTTGGCTACAAGAGAGGAGAAATCCACTATAATCAATAGTAATTGTATTTACAATAAGATTTTAATACTCTCAACTAGGATCTAAAACTCTCATGATGTTGTATGAATATTATTGGAACAATATAAGTCAAGGCTTATATATATGAAACCCTAGAAACCAAATTGAAGATAAATAAAAGTCTAAAACGCGTTAAAATGTGAAAAATGGGCTGGGCGAGATAACGCTGCTCCTTGAACGACGAGGGTGACAGGTGGGCGAAGAGTCTCTATTCAAATTATGTTGGTGCCGCTCGAGCAGCCAGCTAGCGTCAAGCTAGCGAAAATGCAATAAACTTTTCTCCCTGATCCATAATTTTGAACTCTTCAAGATCACTTCAACTAAGACTCCAATACCTATTAGAATTTGAATCACATTACAACATAGATTAAACAGAGGGATCAACGATGTGATTATGAATACACCGATCAAATTGGGGGAAAAAGAGATGCTACTAGGCTTGGGTATGATTTTGGTTCAGGCCCAATTCAACAAAAACTTAAACTGAACCGAAAATTGATAGTTATTTGATAATGGAACCATTTGGTTTCATTTGTAGTATTGGAAATCGAAATCGAAAGCATTTGGTATCGACTTGGTTCGATTCCAGAATTGAACTTGTGAAAAAGAAAAAAGTTAAGTTCAGTGGAAAAACTGAAAAATTGCACCTTCAGATTAGCTATTTGATAAGAGTGTAAAATATAATATTTCTCCCTTTTAATTATTGCATTCATATGATTATTTGATACTAAAATGCACTCATTATACTTAAGTTTTGACTCAGGTTGCATTTTGATAGAAAATATGGAAGATAGAAGAAAAAAGCGAAAAAGGACCAAAATGGAAGAAAATGAAAGTTCGAGGACTAAAGTGCAAATACTCCAAACTTGTCCTAACCTTTTGATGAAGATTCGAAAGTGTTAGAGGTCAAGCGGATGAGGAAAGAGGTCAAAGGACGAAATATCATCAAAGTATGATCACACATAAATTCCCAGTCGAAGAAGTCACGTATCGATTTTTAGCCTGATATTGGGATCCTTTTTGACATGTCATATGATTGAATTGGAAGATGACATCTGAAGAAAAGTTGTAGCCCTTTGAGTTAGCTTTCCAACGCAACTTGAATTACCTCAATCGGATATCGGGAGAGGGAGATATGTTCAAAATACTAAAAGTCATCCGATGGAAAAGAATTTATACTATGCGTAGGCATAGGCCTGTAGGCCTTGCGTACGCGAGATTTCCAAAAATTCACTATTGAGGCCTAAACAAGTCTACTGTGCATACGCACAGTTAGAACCATGTGTACGCATGGTTCATTCTGGTACCCGAATCTTTTGTTTCCTAATTTGATACAACTACTTATGGAAACACGGTTTTCACACATTTTAAGCCCTAGTTCGAGGGAGAACGCCATTCTTCTCCTCTAAGCATAATTTTCTTCGATTTTTGGCTCAAGAACACTATGAGGAACTAAGGGATTTGGTGATGCCACGAAGGAATTCGATTGGTATCGGTGATTTTAACGTCCTTCCATGCAAGTAATTCTAATTTTCATTGTTAAATGATTTTAAGGTTTAGATTTCCTGTTTTCATGAGATTGTTTTGGGATCAATTCAATTCTTATTAGATTTGTTATAGATTCAGTCATACTTTTTCTATAAATTGATCAAAAATAATTATTGAATTGCAATTTCACCCATTCTTGTGAGATTGGTTTAACGTTTATTAGGTTTCTGATTGATTCAATCATGTTTTGTCTTTTGTGAAATTAAACTATTCGTTGAATTTCAATTTCATGCAATCTTATTGGTGTTATTCTTTACCATTATATGTTTTATGTATATGATTGTTTTTTGGATCTAATTTCAATAGATTAAAGTGAGAAGTGTGTTCTAGGAAATTTGGATTTTAGAATTACTATAGGATTAAATTAGGTTTCAATGTTATATTCTCCAATTAAAGTTTGATGACAAAATCTTTAATTGAGTACATGAATGCGTAGTTGACATTAATTGATCCGAACCAATCGAGGAAATTCCGACGCTTCACTATTCCACATACTGATATAACCTCATTTCGAATTGATAAATTGTTTTATACAAACCAAGACGAAAGTCCCAGCTTGATAAATCCTTTGAGTAACTTCCCATCTCCCTGTGGATACGACACCCCAAAGCTGTACTGCAATTACCGTGTTATACTTTGGGCGTAATCACTCTTTTTCTAGATTTAATTTATAGTATTTTGGATTAGAAATGTTCTTCTGTGTTATGGAAAATATTAGAATGTTTGTATATGTCTAAATATCTAACAAATATGTTGTATTTAAAACCGAGGGGGGGGGGGAATGAATCATGGTTTTGAATAGATTTTATAAGTGTGTGATGGAGTAGTTAAACGTTGATATTAAGATTAAGGACGAAGATAAAGTGATTATTTTGTTGTCTTCCTTGCCTAAGTCATATAAGACTTCGGTGACTATGCTATTAGTTAAAAAATTTACTTCGAAAGTGAATAATGTTTCAACCACATTGTTAGGAGAGGCGTGGTGATACTACAACTAAAAGAATAGAAAATTAGAAGAAATTGGCAAAGTATCTCGAAACAAATAGGAGTCGAGAGTTTCAAAAGGTGTCAAATGATACAAATATGGCTAATGATAATATTAAGAATGATAATGATTCCTATTGTGCCAAAAATTATGATTCTCCAAGTATATCTCAGATGTCTTTAGGTATTATCCATAGAGGGGATTTGTTTACAAATATGTTATTGGTGTTGCTCTGGCAGTACCTGCATGGTTCTTTTTTTTCTTTTTTTTTTTGGCAACTTCCAATCATATGTTACTTTGTGTTGTCTTAAAAAAGTACTGTGACTAAGCTTTTACAAGTAGCATGTTTGTTCTTCATATGTTGAGTTAATGAAATCCTTAGGTATTTTTCATGTACTATAAAAGGCTTGTGATATTACTCATTTTCAATAAGTCAAATAACCGAAAGTTGAATGTTCCCTTGAAATTATTCTCATTGTTTGTTCATCTCCAAATTTTCAATAGATATTAAGATTCTACTAAAAGCATATTTACTTTTGTTTCCTTGACATTATTCCATCAAATTTTAGCCTCTTTTGACCGAAAGTACATTCATAAAATTTAATATGAAATTGGCGTACGTGTCTATTTTATTACTCAATTTTTGTTCATGTTCAAAGCATAATTGCCTTGTCAGAGATATTCTGAAGATAAACCTAAGAATCCTTTAAAGAGCTTTGAGAAATAGTGAAAGAGGTTACTTTTCCAGCCAAAAAAAAAGCAACTACTTAAATTTAAAAGTTTTTAAATGACGTAATTCATTTTTGTCATGTTTGGTCGATATATCTCATTTCTCATAACTGTAGATTTTTTCATAAATTTTGTAACAAGCAAGATTAATAAGTTGTCGAATTCTAAGTTACAAATTTTGTCGAATTCTAAGTTACAAATTTACTTTCAATAATTTAGATTAGTCCATAACACATGCCTTCAACCGCCCTCGTTTAATGATTCCATAGAACTATTTTTCTACTTGGAAATAACCCTTCCAAGATGTCCTTCCACAACGATGCCCATCAGGAAATGAATTCTGCTCTTAAACTGCACTTTTATAATAAAAAAGTGCTAATTTTATTTATAAATCATTACATTGTGTTACATAAAAATTAACATTATTCATGCATCTTTATTTTCGGATAACACACCCGGCTAATACATGAAACTAAAACCAAAGGGAATTGTAGGAAAACCACTTGACAAGACTTTGGGGTAGGGTAGGATGGGGGTTCTATTGAGCCCTGTATTTCTCAATCTTCTTCCTAAGTTCTTCTGTGTTGGCTCCAACAAGCTTATCAACTTCTTCTCCTTTCTTTATCAGTATGAAAGTGGGCATAATCTGAATTCCAAAGTCCTTAGCCACATCCTGTTTCCAATTTTTATACAGTTAAAAAATAAATATTAACTGAAATCCAATGGGAAAAATTTTAAATTTTCGAAGCAAAAATGAAAATGATCATACTTCCAACTCATCAACATCAATTTTAATGAACTGAACATCTGTGTATTTAGCAGAAAATTCATTCATGGCAGGTTCCATGGATCGGGAAGGTCCACACCAAGAAGCTTTGAAGTCAACGACCATCTGAAATAAGAAAGTAAAAACCATTATTTAATACCAGCTAGCTATGATCAAGTCGAGAAGCATTTCCAGCATGCAGATTCGTCTAAAAGCTTAAGCTATTATATAGTTTAGAGAGTGGACACATTTATTTAGTTAACACGAACAATTTTCAATAATGGGAGATTTTTGCTTACTCTCTGATAATTTATTAGACCAGTTCATCTAAAAGCTTAGTCGTAATATTACTAGATTTGAAGTCAATTTTGAGGCTTCAAAATGGATCTTCCATTTTGAGGAGGAATGGAATGCAAGAACCCGACCCTTGTTTGCTGATGATGATCCATTTGATACAATATTCCGACCATTTTTTGCTGATGATCCATTGCATGTAACAACAAGGTCCTTGTTCATTGTTGATCCATTGGCTTCATACTCGGTCGAAATATTAGCTCCCATCTTTCTTTACAAAGCCGATGTATTTCTGATGCCTGAAAGTCACGCTAACCCGAAGCGATTTAGAGTTGGAAAACTTCTTTATAATATACAAATGACTGGCGGGGAGGCGTTTTATACAGGTTGGTAATGCTCCTTTCTTTTTCTTCATTAAAAATCTGTTTATCTATTTAAGAATATATTCTTGTTGGGATCCTTTGTATCAGAGCGCTTTTTTTAAGATTTTGTAAACGTATCTAATTAAGTGAATGCATGTCAGGGAAAAGTTAAATCACATTGTTCCCTCTCTCTCTATGTGTGTGTTGAAAAACTTGTTCACTAAAATTATATGGTGCATGAGTGTGTTCAGGTAATAAAGTGAATGTGAGTTCGAGTCAATCCCTCGAAGAGTGTTTATTCTCATTATATGATAGTTGATTCAAATTAACGATAAAAATATACACAATTAAAATTTTTGAAGTTAGCAATGAAAATAAAACAATTTTACCCTTTAATTAAACTCACAATTGTGAAATTGATAAGATTTTAGATCTTAAATGAGTTGGGATTTACGATATCGCTTAACTTTCGTTTCATTAATATCTCAATAAACCAAAAATGTAAATCACCTAGTTACATTAGATCCGATTTTCCAATTTTAGTTAATTACCTCTTTCGAGCGAAAATAACTCTAGTTGATTAGTTTTGCCTACTATATCTCTATGTTGATAAAAACGCAGCCAACTACATTAAATCCAATGAAAATAACTTAATAGGTCATTTAGGGTTAGGAGGATATCTCTATATCCTAAAACAACCCAGAGCATTAATTATTTTGGTCTAGAAAGCATAACAATCTCGATAATTGTACGAACTACCTAACCCAATCATCCATTAGCCAAATGATGAAAATGTAAACACTAAAAAAAAATGTGCAATAACAATGGCAATTTTGACATTAAATTGTAAACATATTGATATTAATGAAACACAGTTTAAATCATAAATCCCAATATTAAACATTTAGCCCATCACAGAATAGAAATAGAACAAGGCAATAGAGATGAAATTCATTACAAAATGAGGGATATAATGAAAAGATACAAGATAATAGAATAAACCCGTCCCTTGAATGTATTCTTAAATAAATGAAGAGTTGAAATCTTGAATTTGATGATTATTGGATTTAATCATTACAATAGGAAATTAATTTTCTTTTGAAGATTAAACCCATATAAATAAGGATGTTAGATCACCTTGAGATCATTTGATGTTTTAAATTCTCAACATAAAAGGGAAGATATCTTGAAGGAGCTTGTAATGGCTTAACCAAATGTTTTCTCTTTTAGATCTTCTCCCTTGTTCTCCTTTAGATGCCTCCCTCTTATGGGAAAGATGAAATGTAACTAACCCTTAAAGCGTATGAAAATGTGCTCAAAATAATATATTTATAATACTCAATTAGAGTTTGAAAATTGCATAGATTTTCTTGAACTTTATTGTAGTTGACCGATCAAGTCACACACCTTTATTGGAGCCAAGAGGGAGACCTAACCGGACACACATGACTCAAACTCCAATAGATGTTTCTAATTGGGTCAACTTTTGACCAATTGAGAAAATCTATTAATCCCGCTCGTTCTACCAAAAAGGTGAGATTGCACTCTCGAGTCGAATGATAGTTATAAAAGTAAATTATGATCTAATAACAATATCATCTGATTATCGTTCCACAAGTCAACCCTCATTTGACCATCAATATGTTGAAATTGGCAAAATGACCGTTTTGCCCTTCAACTGTATTTCCCTCCAACTTTCATTTTCATATGGCAAATTCATCGTGATCAAATCACAATATAAAGTCCAACAATCTTGTTATCGGACTACTGAGCTCAGGTTCAATTTTCCTATGGAAAATACCTTGGAGTGACGATCGTCTCATCTCAATGATTAGTGGATTCCACTATCGCAAGTATATGATTTCTAATTGTTTCGGCTGGATTTTCAAAGCACCGAGATCTATCTTTTAATTAATATTTTACTCATTGTTACTTCAAAGAACTTGAACTAGAAAGTTCAAGCAACCAAACGTACATTACTCGCTCAAGATTTAGGTGATTTGTTTGATAATTGAGCGGAGTCTCATTTCAAGCGGTTACAAATGAGTCATCTACGTGGTCCCGGTCAATGTGCATTAAAACACATTATTGTTCTTATTCCAAAATTTAGAGAAATCTTAATGAGAACAATGCAATCTTATTGGCATAAAACGTCCAACTTTATATACTAATTGTGAACGACATATTTTTTATTACATCACGAATTATGTCTTATTATACTTGAACCATCGAGTATACAATTTTTGACATTCTATATGATCAATGAACCTTAGATAATCGTTTCAAATTGTAACACACGAATAACGAACGTTAATTCATAATGTCGTTTTACAAAATACTACTCGAAGAAAGGGCATCAAACTATCAATCTCCCATTTGCCCTTTTTTAAAAGTATATGTGACGTATTAAGAATACCCATCGCCTCAAGATGCCATCAAAAGCCTTAGCTAACAAGGTCTTGGTGAATGGATCCACAAGATTATCTGCTAATACAATCTTACTACCCGTCATGTCTTCTTGATGAACAATTTCTCTAACAAGGTGATATTTCGACTCGATGTGCTTGCCGCGCTAATAACTCGTTGGTTCTTTAGCATCGGAAACCGCTCTACTATTATCGCAAATAAAGCTTCAGGGGTCCCATTGCTAAAGGTACCACGTCAAGGTCTAAAAAAACTTCTTGAACCATACAACTTCTTTAGCAGCTTCGCAAGTCGCTACATATTCTGCCTCCATGACGTTTCATCTTGTTTTCCATTAGAGATTCAAATTTCATTACGACGTTCCCTTAATTCATTATCCAAAGATAGAGAATTCTTGAAGAACTTGACATTACTTGATTAAATTATCACATTGATCTCCAAATTTAATAATATATATGATTTGCTATTATTAGCATAACCAGCAAAGGCACATTTGATACCTCTTAGACCTAACTTGGTCCTATTCGGGTTTGTGTTCTTACAATATCAAAAACACACCCACACTTTGAAGTATCCAATGTTAGGTTTTCTTCTTCTTTACAATTTATAAGGAGAAACATTTGTTAGTTTAGAAGGAATTTTATTTAATATTCTGCATGCACTCAATAATGTTTCACTCCATAAATTAAATATCAACTTCGCATAAGTTAATATAGCATTAATCATTGCAAAAAGATTTCTATTTTTTTCAGTCAAACCATTTTGTTCAAGTGTCTTAGGTGTAGAACATTGTTGTATTATGCCTTGTTAACAAAATAAATCAAAATAACTAGAAAAATATTCGTCTTCTCTATCACTTCGTAGAGATTTTATTTTCTTATTTAAGTGATTTTCAACTTTATTTTTATATGCCTTAAACATATCAAAGCTTCATGATTATGTTTCATTAAATAAACATAAGTATATCTAGAGTGATCATCTATAAAGAAAATAAAATATATATTTCCATATCTAGTTAACATGTCATTTAATTCACATATATCACTATGAATTAATTCCAAAGTACTTGAATTCCTATTTACACTTTGATAAGGTTTCTTAATCATTTTAGATTTTACACAAGGTTTACATTTAAATGTATCATATTCATTATATGATATTAAGTCACATTTCATCATTCTTTTTATAGTACTCTTACCTTTGTGGCCTATTCTAGCATTCCATAAATTTAAAGAATCAACAATATCACGGAATCCACTTTATTAATAATTAACTTGTCAACTGTACAAAAGTTTGACCATTTCTTCACTAAAATAGCGTTTTCCAACAAATATCCCATTTAAGAATAATACAAGTTTACCGACTCATAAACACTTTTTATGCTTGATTTTCTTGAGAGATTTCCACTTACTAAATTCCTATTCATATAAGGAATATGTAACACGTGTTAGAGTAACATTTTTGCCAGAAGTGAAGATAATTTCTACATTTCCTTTTTCAAGCACCTTGGAGTAGCCTTTGTTACCGATTTGAATATTTTGATCTCCATCCACTTCATTATATATCATGAATAAGGACTTATCATATGACACATGTACAATTGCACATGTATCATACCACATATGGGGAATCTTTTTCTTGATAGCATTGATCTCATTTATGGTGGCTACAATGTTATCTTTTTTGATGGAGTTCACTTTTCCTTTTGAGTAGTTTTGTTTTCGATGTCGATATTCTTTTGCATAATGTCTGGGTTTCCCACTAACAAAAAAACCTCCCTTGGACTTCTTCTTAACATTGTTAAAGTTTTTAGAAGGCTCTCTCTAATTGGATTTGTGTCAAGGTTTTGTCTTTTCCATGGCATCAACCTTTGAAGTGCCTTTATAAGAAGAATTATTCTTATCTCTTGCCCTTGACTCTTTCTCAATTCGAAGATGTTTCTGCAATTGTTCCAGAGAATAATTTTTGGAACTATGCATGATTTTCTTCTGATAGCCTTTCCAAGTTCTCTAGAGTTTACAATAATTGCTCATACTAGGAAGGATTTCGGGATTTCAATTTTGACCGCCTTCAACTTATTGACAAGAACCTACAATTCA